ATTGTATCGTAATCGTCCCCAAGGAGCCTGGTTCAAATGAGCTTGACATTATTAAAATTTTAATGCCCAGTTTTCATAGCTGAATGAATATTTAAAGGGTATGTCCCAGCTTAAGTTATAATGATGAAGAAATTAATGGAATGTCTTGTTTAATGCATGGCTCTGTGTTGATGCAAAAAGTGGCAGGGGGAGGGGGAAGGGAAAGGGGGCAGGAATAGAGGGGAGGGGGCAGGAAGGAGCCACCTGCCTGCTCCCCCACCCCCCATCTCTCTCAATAGGGAGCAGAGAGAGGACCTTAAATCCTGGACCAGAGTGCTCCTTCTGAGGGGGATGCGGGTTGTATTTTCCAGCCAGCATTATAATTAGTGTCCCTAGAGGACTCACCCTAAGAGCTCCAGGCAGCATCTTAGAGCTATTCCTGACCCAGGAAAAGCAGCCCTGGCCAGGCAGCTTTACCTTGGGCACCTGGAGGCAAAACGAAGACTTGGGGTCCAGGGCCCCTGTAGACACTCAGCGTCAACACAGGTGATCCTGCACCCTAGCCTAGGGTTCCAGACCTTCCAGGGTGACACTACGCTGGCTGTGAGGAAAGGCTTGACAGAGGAACGTGAATCAGGAAAGGAATCCTAAGGGACAACGTTCCAAAGAGTCTTCCTCTCGTTTTTCCTCCTGACTCTTCCACTACTTTCCCCTCCTTTCCAGATCCTTCTGGGCTCCCTCTCAGACCTCTCTTTGTCACCTCTGTCTTGTCCTTTCTCCCTAACTTTAAGCCTAGTCTGGTGTTCTCTTCCCAGGTCAGATGGCTCAGTCTGCACCTCTCTTCTGGAGACAGAACACTCTGGGCGAAGCTGGACCAGGGCAGACAAGGGAGAGAGGTCTCTCTTCAGGTCACAGCCGCCTGAACAGAATCTGTTCTAACTGAGAAACCTTCCCACCCGAGCCTTACAATTTATTTCTGCTGAGAATTAAGAAAGCATGCGGCTGTATTTTATCTCCCTATCTAGCCCGGCAGCTCTGACAAGCTCTGCAAAGGCCACTGGATGCTGGCCATCCTCAGATCCTAATGGGACATGAAAAGCCACCCCAGGAGTGCCGCTATATGAGAACCAAGTCAGTTTTGCTTAGCTACTCTGCTTGGAGCAGTTATGAGTGACCAGCCCTTAGCGGAGGACAAGTGGGAGACTGAATGGGACTCCAGATCCCCACTCTCAGGAAGGGGAAACTGGAGAGAAGCCAAGGGGTCTGTGAGGAAAGAGCAAGCTAGTGAGTGCCATAGAGCAGGTCTGGTCATGACATTCAGAGCTGGAAAGGCAAGGAGGCCTTCCGGAAACATGCCAGGCCTCAATCGGGTAGGAAGGAGTGTGCAATTGAGCTTCCCAAGTATGCAGGTTTTGAAAACCGAGGGACAGTGGAATGGCCCCCTAAGGGAATGGCCCATCCAACGTGAAAGCTCCATGCACAGGGAGATCTCATTGCCTCATTATATTTACCATGGCAAAGAGAACCTCCGGAATCAGAAGTAGCTCTGTCCTAGCTCTTCCCCATCCAGTGCGACTCACACAACTGCTCCCAGGCCCAGCCTTCCTCCTTACATCACCCCTGGAAATGAGAGCTCTGCTGGGCGTACTTTGGCCCTGAGTGGAACCTCTTGCACAGCGTTGCTCCCCACCTCAGTTCGACACATGAGGCTCTAGAGTGGCAGAGCGGGGTGTGGGTCACTCCCCCTTACCTTCCCTTTCCCATCCAGACCCTCCTCCACATGCTTGCTGGGAAGAAAATCTATCAGGCATTCTGCTCCTCACCCCTGTCCAGCTATGAACCTTCCCAGACTATCTTTGGCTCCCAGCATCTTCTGAATATAGACCCAGGTGTCAGGAAACTTGGGTCCATCCAATATCATCATTTGCCCCCTGTGTGACTTTGGATTGGTTTCTTAGCCTCTGAAAATCCATCTCTGTGACTGGAGTTCTATTTTCATCTGTCTCATTCTCAGATTTCATAACCTGGAAATATTACACACACACACACACACACACACACACACACACACACGTGTTCCATGTTCTTGAGTGTTGTATATCCTTTGAAGGGTCCTGGGAAGCCTTAGCCCTCTCTATTCTACAAGCCATTCCCTAGCCTTGAACATGCCTTCAATATGGAGAAAATGGGATTCTCTGTAAGATCCTTCCTGTTGAAACACTAGCCAGGCTTCAGGGGTCAGAAATTCTCATCTGCTGGGATGAGAGGTCTGAGAGGTCATCGTTGATGACTGAGAGGTCACAGCCAAAATGTCTGTCTTATTGTTCTGGAGACTGGAAGTCTAAGATCAAGGTGTGGGTAAGTTGGGTTTCGGGAAGAGCTTTCTTCTTTCTCATTTGAAGAAGGCCGCATTCTTGCTATGTCCTCACATGGCCTTTCTGTGTGCACTTGTCCCTAGTGTCTCATTTTCATAAGAACATCAGTTATGTAGGATGAGAGCCCTTCCCATATATCTTCATTTACCTTTAATTACCATGTGTTAATGGTCTTATTCCCAACTATAATCATATTGTGGGGTCATAGATTCACCAGATGAATTTAGAAGGCTACAGTTCCGTCTATCTGAGGACTCTCAAAGAACATCAAGAGAAGGAGTCTGCGGAAGGGTTGAGGAGCTTCAGACGCTGCAGGGAATGGACTTAGGGGGAGGCAAAATGTGTAAAGATATGTGTGGGGACCTGTGTAAGATGATAGGGCCAGCCGGGCGCCGGTGGCTCATGCCTATAATCCTAGCTACTCAGGAGGCTGAGATCTGAGGATCACAGTTCAAAGCCAGCCTGGGCAGGAAACTCCGTGAGACTTTTATCTCCAATAAACCACTAGAAAACCAGAAGTGGTGCTGTGGATCAAGCTGTAGAGTGCTAGCCTTGTGCTGAAGAGCGCAGGGACAGCGCCCAGGCCCAGAGTTCAAGCCCCAGGACCGAAGAGGTTGCCTTTCAATTCAATGGCCCAAGGATCCTGGTCCCAAACAGCCATTACCACTACATCGGCTCTTTCTCCACCTCCTCCCTCCTTAGGCCCCTCCTGTTGGAGCAGCTGGGTCAATGACAAACAAAAAAGGAAAAGAAAGCCACAGGAAGGACAAGTGTCATGACAATAATTTACACTGCACATGCCCCTCCTGGCTGAATTCTAGCCAGATACTCTTACTGGTAAGGCGGAGATAGTAATCCCTACCTCAGAGATCTGTGAAGTTACATAAGCACAAATGGTAATAGGAGCAAGAGAACACAGTGGCCAAACTTGGGTCCAGGCTAGCTTTGAGCACCTTCTGGGATAGAATACTGCAGGCTTGTGGAAAGGCAAAGGAGATAGGATCTCCTGTGTCTATGTTCACACCAATCTGAATCAGTCCTATCCCCTCTGATCTCAGAAACTAAGCAGGGTTGGACCTGCATAGTTAATATTCTGCTTGGTTAATATTCTGATGGGGTGAAGGGATGTCCTAGGAGGGAAGGGCAGCCTAGAAAAAAAGGTGGGATGCTGAATTCCCAAAAGCAAACCAGGAATGACCCAGCTCCCTCGTCAGGCTGTCTCCTATAGCCAGATGCCTGAGCCACCTTCTAAACTCTTCCAAAAAGGTCTGGAAATGAGGTGGTTTGTGGGAAGCTAGAAACGTCATTCTGTCTCTGGGGTTGAAGCTTCTATAACGTGACAGTACTCCCTGCTGCGGGAGCTTACGTACAAAGCACCTGTCTCTCTCTGATGGTAAATACTCCGATGGCCTGTCTTGCTGGCCCTGGCTCCTTGCGTATCCTTCCCCCGTCTGCTCCGAATCCTGCCTGCTGTCTCTGTCCTTCCTCGGTGTGGCTCTGCCCTTCCCCTGGCCTCAGCTTCACCTTGCTGAGTCACACACGTCCTTCCCCCACCCCCTCCACGCAGCCAAAACTCACTTCGAATCCTAGACCAGAAAGGCAGGAGGCAGCTTGTGACTGGGCTGCTCCAGCCCTTATAAGGCAAGTGAGTTGACATCCAAGCCTCAAGGTACAATGTAAGCACAGAAATAGCTTTGGCAGACCCTGCCCTCGGGTGGCCTGGGAAAGCACATGACTGGCCCTCTGCCTCAGTTTCTCATCTTTAAAACGCAGGTGTCTGCACTGCTGTGGCCTGCCTCTCGGGGTTTGTGTTTGTGAGAGAAATGCAAACATAATAAGGGATCTGGGAGAGGCAGGACAGGAAAAGCGCTGGCAAAGATATGAAGTACGATGCATTGCGTGGCTTCTATCATTTTTATTGTCTGAAATACGGTGGGAACTCAGAGCTTGAGAGCCCACCCCTGGTGCTTGTCGCCGGCTGGGATTGAAAGGAAGCTGTGGAAGCACGATGCTTGGAGTTGAGAGACCCCTAGTGGCCTGAACAGGACATTGACACAGATTCCCAGGAGATGCCAGCAGCTGGAGAGCCAGCCTGTGCCTGTGTTCTCTTGGTACCCAGACACTGAGGGAGACAAGAAGTTGTGCCCACTGCACACGTATCCTAAGCGGGGGACCTATGGCTGCAATCAGAAGCCCTTGTCCTGAGCCACACTCCCACTCACTAGCTGAGAGGCTTAAAGCCTTACTCTCCCCACAGGCCAGGAGTTTGAGATGGCAAGGGAGACAGCTCACTGCCATGGCCTGAGCTGGGCAGGATTTCACCTGCGGACCACTTCATTTTGACCAGCTGTCTTGAATGACCCAGACCTGGGTCACAGATATGCTTGGGGTACAGGATGGTTTTGTGGACGTGGGGAACAGGGACAGGCATTCTATCAACCTCAGATTTGGGTGTCCAGGTTTGCAAGCACTGCTCAAAGCAGGAGGAGGGACCTCACCGGGTCTCCAACACATCACAGGGAGGTAGGTGGCGCTTCAGGAGGATTTGCCTCTTTGCTTCTGTGGGTGCAATGTACACTTACAAGTGGGGTGTTTGCCCCTCAACACTAGACCCATTGTGACACTGTCTCCTGTTCTCTGTTACAGATGAACCGGCCGATCCAGGTGAAGCCCGCGGACAGCGAGAGCCGAGGAGGTAGTAGCTGTCTGCGCCAGCCCCCTTCACGTGAGGGCCCACTTGTCTCTGCCCTTCCTCATCCCCCTCCTCCCTTCCCACCTTGTCCTGGTGCTGCAATTGCCTGCCGCCACCGCCTCCTGCCTCTCTGGGGACCTCATGGCTTAGGATCAGGGGCAAGGCTTTGGAGCTCTGGATAACTGATTGTGGAAAGACAATAGGGTAGAGACTGGGATCTGTTGGCAGATTGGTTTCTACCTAAGTAAACAAGCAGTGTTGTGGAAGGTTTGAAAGAGTGTGTCTGTGTTGGTGTAGTGGGATTTAAATAGCCTAGCGATGCCTGTCAAGGAAGGAGGCAATTGAGAGAGACAAAGGTTGCAGAGGATATATCTGAAAAGGGACCTATCTGAAGAGGGCCTGGGGTGGATGTATAGATATAGGCCAGTGTGTGTAGAAGGGCCAGTGTGGAGGGAAAGATTGGAGAAACAGATGCAAGTAGGTGTGGAAAGGAACACAAGAAAATGGACATTGTCTCACTCACAAACACCTGCCCTAGAACTTGGAACCCACGGGACCCTGGCATGAGGTAGCTGAGCCCCATTGCTTTCCCTTGAACCTTTGCCATGAGAGGGAAGAGTAGGTGGCCAGCAGGGGCAACTCTGTCCCCAGGTAGCAGAGCCACTGAAGTTGTATTGTTTTTGTGGTTATTCTACTTAGTCTGGCTTCAGCAGCCCTAGACGTGACTGGGGACTGAGTTCAGTGGGTTTAGATCCTATCTAAATCAAGGGGGGAAAAAGATGATAAATACAGCCAACTAATTCTCATGGTGCCTACCTATCACCACACTTGAAGAAGGGAGAAAGACACACTTTGCCCCAAAGGACTTTGCAGGGCTTCAGGTCTTTGCACCCCTAACCTCCTTGAAGAGGAGAATATTGTGCTTCTCATCCTGATGACCACAGCCCTTCCACCTCACACCACTGAGCTCTGAACTGTGCTCCCGACCATTTCTCCGGGGCAGAGGACAAAACTCAGTCCCTGATTAGAACAGGGACTGCTAAGGGAATACTCTATCCTGTCCACCAGTGAAGAAGCCCCACCCCAAGTACACATTGGGGCTCAACTAGGCGGTGAGCTGAACAGACGTGCGTGGGGAAGACACCCCAGAAGACAGAGGGACAGAGCTACCTTCTCCCAGCCTTCTCTAACTTGGCCACCCTTCCACCAGAAAGAACTTGCTTGGTCTCCCCTCACAGCAGGAAGGAAAAATCCAGAAAAAATACTCCTTATGGCCACTAGGAGGAGTGTAGGAATGGGGCACTTTCTTCCTAGAAAAGGAATTTACTCCTCCATCCGGCCAGCATAAAGGAGCTTCTAGCTTCTGCTTTATCACCATCTGATCCAAGTGTCTGTGTCCACTACCCTCTTAGATCCAGGGTCTTCTGTCCCTCGACTCTCCCAAAGCATTAGCTCAGCCAGGCACTAAGGAATTTCTCTTTCCTTCATCCTTTTCATACACATCTTCCTCCCCACCCTGACCTCTGCTCCAAAAATCCCCTCCCCCAAAGTTTATTAGGGAATAATAGGCCAAGGCTAAAGCTAAAGCTTTAGGGTCAATATCCTAGAAGGAATTATAGTGTGATCCAAAGTGGCCTGACAATCCCTGGAATGTCGAGTCCTTTCCAGAAGACTTCCTCATCATACTCAGTTCAGGCTGCTATCATCTGGACAAGTTATAACAGAACCTTGATCTGGGCACAAGATCTCTGCGCCAAGTTTCCTTCCTCACATGGGCCATTGGCCCTAGACATCAGGGCTTGAGTGGTGTCTTAAGAGGTGTTGTTGAAAGGGTGCTATGCCTGAGGGTACAGATGTACTTCCCCAGGGATCATGGAGCACTTGGAGTCTTAAGGACACTGATTATTGAGGTCCAGTTAGTTGCAGGGCAAAAATGACTCAGGTGTTCTAGTGAGCAAAATCTACCTGGACTATACTGCCTCCTCCCACCCCTTTTTCTCACAGTGACTGGAAGCTCATTCTCCCCTGGCTTCACCTAGGCCTGTGAGAATCATGACAGAGTGAAGGACGAATCCTGATGACTAGCCCAGCTGGGCCAGGGTCTGGGCACCCAGGCATGCAATGATTCTCCTGTAGCTCCCTGTTCAGATAACACAGATGATGAGCCATAGGAGCCAAGAGTAATCTCAGAAAGGGGACTCCAGAGACAGGAACACCAGAGACCTTGGAGGAGGTAGCCCCTTGAGGAGGTGGCACTTCTGGCTTGAATGAGGGGAGATTCCACACCTGGGAAGAAGGAGAATGGCATGAACAAGGCCCAGCAAGAAAGGTCTCGCAGGAGAGCCAGCAGGCCAAGGTTCAGAGGTTCCCTAGAACCCATATTACTTGTGGGAAGTCCCCTCTGCCCCAAGCCTGGCTGAGCTCTGCTCCAACCCTCTTCTCCCAGTCCTTGCTTGCCTGGGAGGAAATCGCTCTCTGACTCCAAGTTGCTAACCTCATCTCCTTTCTCCCATATATCTCTTGTGCTGACACTTGCCCCAAGCCAGATTAATCAGCTCTTTTATTCTTCTTGTGGTCGAAAAGGGGAAAAGAAAGCCAGGCCTAAACGTCTATCTATTAATTGCATATTCAATATTAAATAGTGAGATGGTCCTGAGTCAGCACTATCACTAAGCTCTTTTTTTTTTTTTTTTTTAAGAAAGTTGGTTCAAGATAATTTAGTATCTATTAAATACATCTTCTGGGGGAAAGGGAATGGAAGGTGGGGAAAGCATTAAAAACAAAGAAATGGGGAGCAATAGGGTGTGAAAGGAAGGGAAGCTGTGGGATGGGGAGAAGAGGCTAGAGGAGAGGAAGGGAAGAAGGAGATAGAGATAGAAAAGAAGCAATAGGAGGAAGGAGACAAACATTGGAGACCGTAGGGTGGGGAAAGACCTGGCATGGATGGGAGGAAGTTGGGGGGTCAAGGAGCAGAAGATGGGTGAGTTGCCTCTTCATCCCACCTCTGAGAACTTTGCTTCCAAAGACCTGAGGACCTAGGATGTTCATTTAACTGCTCCAGGTGTGTCTGAATGCCAGCGGGCAGAACAAGAGGTTTTATTTTCTGCACAGGAAGCATGTACAGGCCCAGGACTTGAGGAGTGGGGGGAAGCTCCCTACCCCATCCACACAGGTGAGGTCCTGATGATGGTGCAGGCTTCTTATTCCACCTCTTGAGTTTCTGCATGCATCATCTGACCTCATCAGCCCCCATGAAAGAGTGAGGGATTGTGGAGACAGGCAGATAAATTGGCAGCAGGAGTTTTGTGGGTGCAGGGGCAGCACTTGAGAAGGAAAAGTTATGGAGAAATTGCTGAGACTAACAGACTGCCCCCTTGCAGGAATAGTCAAAGTGTTCAGACCATTTTCTCCCCAAATATAAGAGCAGCTATAACCACATGAGAAGCAAAGTGGATGCAGCAGATTCTCAGAGTAATAGGCCCAACCCTGAGCAGTTCACTGTACCCAAAGGCCCAGGCATATGGGCATACAGACACAAGTAAAGTGGGAAACAATTCTTTCAGGGTATGTCACCTTGGCTCTCATCATCCCCATAGGTCCCAGAACTGGAACACACACACACACACACACACACACACACAGAGAGAGAGAGAGAGAGAGAGAGAGAGAGAGAGAGAGAGAGAGAGAGAGAGAGAGAGACATGTGCATGGCCATCTCCTGGAAGAATGAGTCCTGTTGTATAGAGACCAGCTTACCTTTGGCTATGGCTCATAAGGCCCGAACTGGAGGAAAGGACTAACTTCCCAGGTATGGCTGGCTCCCAAGACAATGGGGTGTGTTTTGCTGAACCTTAAAGAGCCTTGAGGGATATCTGATGAGCCCACAGAGAGGGGTCACGTGGCTGAGCCACAAGGCCTGAGATAGACCGAGGAGGGGATTAGTGTAGGCACCCCTGATCTCCAGTCACGAAGGGGGAGCCCTGGAAAGGTAGTTGTAGCTAGATACAATTAGCAGACCCCCATGGAAACTTCTAGAAGATAAAGTAACCTCTGATATCCCTCCCCAAGTCCTGCAGAATTGCCTAAGGCTGAAACAACCCCACTGCAGTTTCCATTGGATGTTTGGGCATCAGTTTCTAGACTTGGGAACCCCGGTCTCTCCTCTCTACCAGCTCCTCTTTCTTGCCCAACAATCTGTTGCCCTTTCTCTCAGGCTGTGTCTGCCAGGACCTGGGCAATACCAAAAAAACAAAAAACCAAACAAACCAAAAAAACCCCCCCACAAACCTGTGGGAAGGTTGGGGCAGGTGCAACAGCTCATGGAGTTGTTTCCAATTGGACCCCACCCTAGGCGCTGGCCAAGTCACCTGCATCTTTGGCTGCCCCCCCCTAGTCCATTTAATGGCATCTTCAGGGTGTCCTTCCCTCACTTCAGAGGCACTGTGGTGACAGTAAATTCCCGCTGGGCAGGCTAATGAGGTTGGACACAATGCATGTGACGTAGCTCCAGCTCCTCCCTGAGGCCATGTTCCCCACCATAAACCCAGGCCCACTTCCCTCCTCCCCATTCCTCTACCATCTGCAGCTCCATCGGGTCCTGTGGCTTTTTAAATCCTATTAAGTTCCACATTTCTCCTCCAAGCATCATTTTATTTCTAAACAGACCACGCACTGTCCGTGAAGTCTCCAAGGGGCTGCTGGGGACTGGCTGAGGGGTGTGGGCCCAGGCGAGTTAGCTACACACTCTCATAGTAGACCTGTCCTGGGGAAGTGGTTGTAGTTGGGGGGCGGAGAGGGTGGACCTGGGGACACAACTGTTCAGCTCCAATGCTGTGATTTTCAGTTGTAAACTCTTCCAGCTACTCAGTCTCATACAGTAGACAGGCAGGGTAGCCAGCATTAAGGCTGGCCTTGCTTTAAGAAAAAAAATAGCACTGAGAAGCACCTATTTTCCAGTCTTCACATGCAACAAATGACTCACTGGACAAAGGCTTCTGGCAGAACAGAAACCCCTCAGGGTGCTGCCGAGGAAGC